ATGGAGTCACATGCTGTTTAGTCGCTCAGTCGTGTCCAACTCTTTTGCCACCCCATGGACTGTAGCCCACCAGACTCCTCTGTCCATGGGATTTTCCAGGCAAGAATACTGGAGTGGATTGCCATTTCCTTCTCTGGGGATCTTCCCGACCAGGGGATTGAACCCACATCTCTTGTGTCTCCTACATGGGCAGATGAATTCTTTACCACTGAGCCACCTGGGAAGCCCCAGTGGAGTCACATGTCCATTGCCAAATTGGTGACTGTCCCCAGGGAATGGAAAAATCCTGTTAGCTTAAGCCAAATCACATAGATTCTTTACCCATTGAGCTATCGGGAAGCCCCCCTACCCCAATCCTAGCAAGAATTCTCATTCCTCCTCTTAAGGATATCTGCTTATCAAGTCACCACTGGCTCTTAGCATTCACATTCTGCAGCTTAGCATTCACAGTCTAACCTCTCCGTCCTCCAGACTCTGCCCTGTGTATTCAAAGCCAAGCTCTTGGAATTAAACCAAAGGAGCAACACAACATAAACCTTTTCTCCCTCTTAAGTGCTTCCCTTTTACAATGAAAGAAAAGAAGTAGCAAGGCTTTCACCGCTACTGTCTCTGCTCTGTGTTTAAAAAGTATTGAGAAGTTCAATGGACTGTTTCAGGCTGCGGTTACACTCCCCAAGGCATTAAATGTCACTAGCTCACCAAGTAAAAGAGCTGCAGGGCAACATCCAAACACACAGGAATAGAAAACCTCAATTAGTATTTCAAAATGCAGCCCCTACTTGTAATTGTTAGCGCACGCTATCGGTTTACATGGTCGGAAAACCAGACCGGAGAGTGCCAAGGGAGTCAAAAATTCCCTGCAACAATAAGTCATGCTGTGAAGAAACCCGTCATTATGAGAACCAAACAGGCTGTCATAATTTCAGGCAAAAATCAATTCAAGGGGACATTACTTATACCCTAAAACATTTTTAAAAGTCACAAAAATAAAAAGGGAGGACAAAAACGTCCTTAAACAATCAGGTCATTTCAAAATGTTACCTACAAAGGGTCAAAAGTCAAGCTGGCTTCAGAATTCTCTCCAACAATGAGTTTCAGGAAAACTGTGGAATAATTTCTATATAGCTTTGAAAAGAACACGGGTATTATCCTACAGTGGTATACCTCTCTAATTCTGGGCTGGAGATGTGGTTTTGGGGGCCATTAGCATAAAGGGGAGAATTGCTGCCCTGGATGAGTAAGTTCATACAAGAAGATATTTTAAAGTGAGAGGACCAGCTCTGAGAGATGCCACAGCAACACCTATGTGGAAGGGATGGGCAAAAAGAGAGAGTATGAGAGGAAGTGGCTGATGAAAAGATGCTGTCATGGAAGCAAAAAGGTCAGTGAATCTGGACTCTCCTGGGTTGAACAGAGCCAAGAAGTAAACTAAGATAGAACTGATGAGAAAGAAGTCACCAGTAATAGACCTAACTATAAAATTTGTAAAATTGATCAATTAACATTTTAAAAGTATTTGATATGTAATCTTAGAAACCTAATGAATTATTAGCATTTATTCCCAAAGTCCCATGGATAGAGGAACCTGGAGGGCTAGTCCATGGGATTGCAAAAGAGTCAGAGATGACTCAGCGACTAGACAACTGAAATTAACTGCCCCACAATACTCAGAGTATAAGAAATGACACATCCTTTTCTATTTTTTATAATTGTGAAGTATATCATACATACAAAGAAGTACAGAAGGTATGATGCACAGTTTAAGTAGAATGATAAAATGAAAACACGTAAGCCAGGTTAAGAAATAAAACATTACCAGGAACATAAAAGCTCTACTATCCCATGTCTCTTTGACCCCAACAAGAAGGGATCAAAATCTAAATTTTGTGATAATCACCCCCTCCCTTTTCTCTAGATGACTACATAGGTATATCTGAAAATATACTTTTTGTTTCATTTAGGTTGAAACTTCTAATAAATATACTCTAATATACTCATCTGTAACTTGCTTTTTTTGTTCAACATCATGCTTTTGAGATTCATCCTATTCATGAATGCAGATACAGTCCCTTCATTTTTACTGCTGTGTAGTACTCTAGTCTATGAATAGTGCCTGCGTGCTCAGTCGCTTCAGTTGTGTCTGACTCTTTGCAACCCCATGTACACTAAGCTCCTGTGTCCATGGGGATTCTCCAGGCAAGAATACTGGAGTGGGTTGCCATGCCCTCCTCCAGAGGATCTTCCTGAGTGAGGATCAAACCCGCATCTCCTGCGTCTTCTGCACTGTGCCATGGGGGAAGCCCCTATGAATAGCACACACCATAATTTATCTATACATTCTATCATGGATGAACACTTGGTTTGTTTCCCCTAATTTTGCTATTATGCACAGCATAACAATCAATATTCTTATACATATCTCCAACATGGAGCCCCAAGTAGTCTGGACTCTCCTTCTGTATGTATCTAATATATCTGGCCCATGACTGTCTGACATCTTCACTTAGGGCATTCAAGGTGGCTGGGAGGAGACCATTTGAACAAGACATGCATGTTCTTTGAATGAAAACTGAATCATTACTTTCAAATATTTGATACAGAAAGGTTGATTTAGATTCAGTATCCACTAGCAGCACACAAGAAATTTCAACATAACATTTGTCAACAAAGAAAAGGAAGAGCTGTTAGATTATGTAAATATAACATCACCTGTTCACTCTCGAATAATTCTAAAAGGCTTTAAATTTTGCATTACTTGCTTGCATGAAGAAACCTTGTCAACGACAACTATCCAGAATGTAAAGAGATCATTATTTAAAAGTGTTACACAGGAATTATGCCCAGCCATTTCAAGAAGCCAGAACTACCCAGCCAAACTGATTCCATATTCTTGACCCACTACAAACTGTGAGATAATACAATAGTCTATGGCTTTTTTAAGCTGCTACCTTTGGGGGTAATCTGTTACCCATCAACAGATAACTAATACACTTGTAACTTTCACTTTTCATACCATAATTCCACAATAGAAAGACAATGTTGATTGTTTTCAATAAGTTCCATATGGACATCCCCCTCAATCTCCTTCTAAAATGGAGACAATGTAAAGTTGGACAGAAAAAAAAAACAGCAAAACCTGACATTGCCAGTGTCCTGGAGCCTTCACTCTCAGACACTTTTGAGTCATCACCACAGGCTTCTGTGTCTATTATTTTACATACTGGGGCAAAGGGATGTAGAGAATGAAGGATAAAATGGGTCATGAAGGGGGAGGGGGAGGCAGGAATTTTGTCTGAAGAGTTTATAGGAACTTAATGGCCCTAAATTCTCTCTACACACAAAGCATGAACAGGACTCACACATCTGGAGTTGCCAAGCATGAAAACAATAAGGATGCCTTTCTATCTGCAAAATTAAAACCCAACTAAACTGTGATATGTATAAGAAGCCCCCAACATTTCTATTTTTCCCTGATGCTTTTTTCAGAAATGTCAACTATCAAATCCATTTTAAAAATTGTTTCAGTGCTTCTGCTTTGTCCACTTACTCTTGGTTGGTCTGCCTACTGTTTAATCCAGCACTGAGAAAACATGCTCTACAAACCTAAAGATTCACAGTGTAAAGTGGACACTCCTAATCACAGCACCTTCCATGTCCCAGTTATTATTAAATCAATCATTTTACTTTCCGGCCCCTGGCTTTTCCTGAGGGGCTCTTATTAGCCGAGCCTCCTTGAATAAGTGCTTCTTCTGTTAATATTCCTTGGAAGCCCATTATAAATGTTCTGTTTACTAGAAAGTCTGCATTCTCAGATTGGTGACTAAAGTTAGGCTGGTAGGACAGAGAGGGACTCATTTCAGACCTGCACACCTCCAGCTGCACAGGTTGTCCCCTTCCTTGTCCCATTCTCACCTAACAGGCACACAACGGGCCAAGCTCTTTATATCCTGATCATGGAGGACTTGGCAGGTGACAAATGCTAATTTCTGAGGTCAGGGAAGGTGCTTCACATTTTATCTTTCTGAAGACAAGATCCAGACATAGGGCAGGATGGGGAGGCCCTGAAGACACTATGTATTTAATAGTGCTTCGATGCATTTACTGATTGCTGGGACTTGCCTAGCGGTTTGGTGGTTATGACTGCACGCGCCCCAGTGCAGGGGGATTGGATTCAATCCCTGACCAGGGAACAAAGATCCCACATGCTGCACAGTGCAGCCAAAAAATTTTAAAAAAATTTTTTAAAGAACTAACTGCTGCCATACTCATGGAAATTAAAGTGATGTCAGAGTTTGAGGTCCCATTTGTCAGATTAAGCTCACGTTTAGGAAACGAACAATGTAGGACAGTAAAACTATTTTACTTTTTCATAATTGGTATTAGAATTCTAAAGCTAAGCTGCCTAATATGACAGCTCCTAGCCACATGTGATCATTTAATTTTAAATTAATTAAAATTAACTAAAATGAAACAGCCAATTCCCCAGTAACACAGCACATTCTAAATGCTCAGTAGCCACATAAGCACTGTTATAAAACATTTCAGTTATCATGGAAAAGCTATAAAAATTTGGCCGAATTCCCTTACACTTGACATTGCTTTACCTTTGCATTACACATTTTGGGAGCAGGTGGGAGAACCATAATACTTTAAGTGACTGGAGACCTGTAAAGAATTTAATGTGACTTTAGCCAGCAGCCTCCTTTAACAGCATTTATACCTTTGATCGCGCCTCCACGTACTTCATCAAAAAGCCATTGCCCTGGACAGTCACACGCGAGCACCTCGAATCCGCTAGATTAGACAGGAAACCAGAGCCTCGGATGGTCTCCTAGCAACAGAGACGCGACCCTGCCCCTTCCCCTGCCGAGCCTCTCCTACCTTATTGGCCTTGAGGGGGCGGGACCGGGAGTCAAGTGTCCAATAGGAGGGGAGCGGAGGAGGGAGTCCTGGTCGCGTCCCCGTCGCCCGGGAAACCGTGGCATCCTGGTTTGCGCGCGATGCCGAGCGCGGAGGAGCGGGCAGCGCAGGCTGAGGACAACGCGGACGGGGAGCCCGGCGCTGACCCACGGCTGCGACTCCTCGGGGCCTATGTGGCCCGGAGCCTGCGGCCGCCCGCGGGCGCCTGGGAGCGCTGCGCGGGCTCGGCCGATGCGGGGCAGCTGCTGCACGCCTTCCTGGGACAGGGGGCCGCGGAGGGTCCGCGACCGCTGCTGGTGGTGCAGCCCGGGCCTGGGGGCCTGGCGGTGCGCACGGAGCTGGACGCGGGACCCGAGGCCGGCCCGCCTCGCGCTAAGGGGCTTTTTTTCCTGCGCACCAGGCCCGAGCCGCCGGGCCCCGGCAGCCTCCGCGGGGCAGTGCTGTGCGGGGATCTGCCCGCCGCGCCGCTGGAGCATCTGGCCGCGCTCTTCTCCGAGGTGAGAGTAGGCCCACCGCCCCGCGCCGGCCGCCGCTGGGGAGGGGGACGGGAGCAGGGGGCGGGGCCGGGGCGGGGCCGGAGAACCGGGGCGGGGCCTCGAGAGCCGCTGGGAACTGAGTTTGAGGAGCCGCGAGTAAAATAGGATGGGCGGGGCGATGTTGGAGGGGCGGAGCTGGCGGGAAAGGAGGACCCTGGGCTGAGCTTGAAATGGAAGCTGGGGGAAATCTGAGCTGGGGTCGGGTCTGAGTCTTCAAGTCAGGGAGCTTGCTTCATTCCTGGTCTGGATTCAGGCCAAAGTCAAGGGGAGGCTGGAGTCGGAAGAGGGCCTGGATCCTGAGCTCTTTTTGAGGCGCTATCTCTGAATCCCCCCTATATAAACTGGCATCGCAAATGATAGGGAATCGTAGACCCAGGGGCATCTCTTATGGATGAAGGAAAAGAGTTAAAAAGAAGAGGTGATTTGGTTTTGATTTTCATCTCATTCATGAATCGGAGGTCAGCCCTGTGCCCAGGTAAGCAGCTGGGACATCCAGTATATGAAATGCCCAGCAGGCATTTGGACGGGTCCGCCTGGAGCACAGGGGCGGAAGATCTCCAGGGATTGGATTACGGGGGCTTCGGTGGCACCACAGCAGAAGACTCGAGAGGGCAGGGGTGCCTGGGTGAGAGACATTTAGAACTTTCTGGAATGTGAGTAAAAACTTTCCTGGAAGTGAAGTGGATGTGCCTCTGTAGGCTTGATCCCCTGCTGTATCATGTTCCCTGTGATAGGTACTGTGGGGAGCACCAAAGAAATATGACAAGATCCCACCTGTGGATGTCATCATATATATAAAATATTTAAAGCTAGTGGACTTACCAGGTGACACAGTGGTAAAGAATCCACCTGCCATTGTAGGAGATATGGCTTCAATCTCGATCAGGGTGATCCCCTGGAAAAGGAAATGGCAATCCACTCCAGTATTCTTGCCTGGAAAATCCCATGGACAGAGGAGCCTGCCGGACTGCAGTCCATGGGATGGAAAAGAGTCAGACACAACTGAGCAACTGAGCACGTGCGTGCATGCATATATACACACACACACAAAGTTGGCCTCAGTGCTTGAACTGGGTCCTAGAGGCTCTCTGCTACATCAGGTGTTGGGCCTTTGGTTGCTCCATTAGGAAGCTGTGGGGAGCAGGAGTTCCAGAAAAGGGTCACGGATGACCAAGGAGCTCAAGGGGACTTGGGGAAACTAGATTGTTCAGTTGATATGGGAGTATTTCAATATTTTCTTAACCCAATGGCTTTATTGCTGTTTGTTTTCTGAACATTATCCATCCCTGCAGGAATCCAAGCTTGGTTCAAAATCCCTCTTGAACAGTGATGATGGGAAGAAGTGCATGAAAATGAATTCACTGTTACCAAAGGGGAAAGGGAGGAGGGATAAATTAGGAGTTTAGGATTAACAGATTAACTGTATATAAAATAACCACCAGCGACCTAATGTATGGCACATGGAACTATACTCGATATCTTATAATAACCTATAATGGAGAAGAATCTAAAAAAGAATATATATATATATATATAGGCTTCCCAGGTGGTGCTAGTGGTAAAGAACCTGCTGCTAGCCAGTGCAGGAGACGTAAGAGACCCGGGTTCAATCCCTGGGTCGGAAAGATCCTCTGGAGGAGGGCATGGCAACCCACTCTAGTATTCTTGCCTGGAGAATTCCCATGGACAGGGGAGCCTGGCAGACTACAGTCCATAGTGTCAACAAAGAGTCTGACATGACTGAAGCAACTTAGCATACATCCATGCATATATATATGTGTGTGTGTGTGTGTGTGTGTATAAACTTTGCTGTACACCAGAACAGAAACTGAAACTATTGCAAGTCAACTATTCTTCAACAGAAAGAAAAAAAAAAGAAATAAGATAAACAAAATACAAAATAGATGAATAGATTTTTAATTTACAGAATAAAAAAGGTTTACTAATATGGAAGAAGAAGTGCTGTTGGGTTTGTAGGACAGACAGATGCACGTGGTCTGAGAGCCCTGCTTCACCTCCATTGCTGAACTGGCTCCTGAACAAGGAAAAGGATTAGGATAAACAGAGAGCAGGGTAACTTTCAAGGTCTGGGTAGCAGACTGAACAAAGGTTCAGAGATGGAGCTACACCTAATGTAGAGGACAGAGGGTCATGGCCAAGGAAATGCAGTCCAACTGGAAAAAGTAATTTTAAGATCCTTCAGACTCTTAGGGACTTGCCTGGCGGTCCAGTGGTTAAGACACCATGCTTCCAGTGCAGGCAGCACAGGTTCCATCCCTGCTTGGTGAACAAAGATCTTCCCATGCCACACAGCATGGCCAAAAAGTAATAAAAATAAAACACTTCAGACTCTTAAATGTTTGAGAATTTTCGTTGGTTCATTGAAAGAGGCTGGAAACAAACTGAATGTTCATCCTGAGGTACTGTGTGAACAAATTCAGGTCCATCTATAATTAAAGGGAACAAATGATATGGGACAGCCCTTAATTTTCTCTTTACTGTGAAAAAAGAACATTAAATTCATTCTCTCCACAATTTCCAAGTGTACAGTACAATAAGTTAACCTCATGCCCATCATTGTGCAACAAATCATCACCCACCCATTCTGCAAGGCTAAAACTCTACAATCATGAATAACTCCCACCTCCCCCACCCTCAGCCCCTCGCAGCCACATTCTATTTTCTGTGTCTGTTAACTCAACCTCTCTAGGTACCTGACAGAAGTGGAATCAAGTAGCATTTGTCCTTTGACTGGCTTATTTCACTCAGCAGACTGTCCTCAAGGAGGTTCATTCTCAAGATAGCACTGTGATGGACTTGCCTTCCTTTTTAAAGCTGAGTAGTATCCCATTGTTTGTATATATACATTTTCTTTATCCCATTCATCCATGGATGGACAATTAGGTTCCTTTCACCTCCTGGTTATTGTGGATAATGCTAAGATTTAAGTTTTTAAAGGTGCAGAAAGGTATGCTACCATTTCTGCTAAAAAGAGAAACTGTGAAAAAAGAACATTAAATTCATTCAACAATTTCCAAGTGTACAGTACAATAAGTTAACCTCATGCCCATCATTGTGCAACAAATCATCACCCACCCATTCTGCAAGGCTAAAACTCTACAATCATGAATAACTCCCACCTCCCCCACCCTCAGCCCCTCGCAGCCACATTCTATTTTCTGTGTCTGTTAACTCAACCTCTCTAGGTACCTGACAGAAGTGGAATCAAGTAGCATTTGTCCTTTGACTGGCTTATTTCACTCAGCAGACTGTCCTCAAGGAGGTTCATTCTCAAGATAGCACTGTGATGGACTTGCCTTCCTTTTTAAAGCTGAGTAGTATCCCATTGTTTGTATATATACATTTTCTTTATCCCATTCATCCATGGATGGACAATTAGGTTCCTTTCACCTCCTGGTTATTGTGGATAATGCTAAGATTTAAGTTTTTAAAGGTGCAGAAAGGTATGCTACCATTTCTGCTAAAAAGAGAAAGGAGGGAGTGAAGAAAAAACCTTTATTTACAGAGTAATCCCTAGGTGGGAGGAAATGGGTGACACGGGAGATACAGGGGTAGACTGAAGACTTGATTTCTACTGTAAAGCTTTTGTACTTAAAAAAATTTGCACCATGTAAATGTGTTAACTGTTTTTAAAAATCTAAATAAAATAATATATTTTTAAAAATACCTCAGGCCTTTACTTGAATTTCTCAAAACCTCTTAACAGCAGTCCCTGGGCCACACAACCCACCCCTGTCCCGTCCACTTCTTTCACACTCCCCAAAGCCGATCCAGGGCTAATTCAGGATCTTGCTCATCTCAGTCTCCGGAGCCCCTTGTCCCCTCCCAGCTGTCCTGCCCACTCTCATCTCCACCTTTGGCTATGAGCTTCCCTCTCCTAACACCTTCCCATAAAACAGCACTAAAGCCAAAACATCCCGAAGCCATAAATTGTAATTTTGTTTTTGCCCTATTACACCAATACAAGGTAAAAAGCAAGTAACATCTAGGAAGCTTGGAGAAAGAAGTGAGGGACTATGGTACCCAGCCCTCCTGCTCCCTTTCTCCCTCCTCTCTGTCCCTTTATTCACTGCGGCCAGCCAGGTTTCCTTTCCTAGGGCTCTGGCGCTCGGATACTGTGTTGGAAATTTGGGGTTTTGGAGCGGGAGTGTTACCGACCTTTTCCAATCGGGTGTCCAGTCGGGTGGACCTCCACCTGGGTCCTTCCCTCGTCCAGTGCCGGCTGGTGCCAAGTAAAGGAAAACAGGTTCAGCAGAAGTAGGAGAGGTGCGCCTCTGAAAAAGGCCACGTTCTCTCCAGGGGGGGACTGGGGTGTCTTGCATGGCGCAGGGTGGACAGTGAGGGCGGGGCTGAGTGGGAGGAGCAGGCATGCGCAGAGCCTCCTGCGTGGTGGACGCATCGTGGGTGGAGGCCCTTGGCCATTTTGGACTTTTCTGGTTCCAGTAGTTTCTGTACTTTTCTCCCTGGCCATTTCTGGAGATTCTTCCTTAGTTCCTGTTAACTCATTGTTGACTGGGGGATTTTTGCAGAAACTAACGCCTGGCCGGCAATTTTTATTTCAGCAGGCCAAAAATTAATTGTCATTTTACTAACTCTCTGTGAGTTACTATATTCAGTATAGGCACACCTGTAAAGTCTTCTAATTTTTAATGTTGTCTTCAGTCCACTGTTCTGTAGAAGCAAAGGAGCGTTCTCCCGCACCGTGAGTTTCATTGTTACTTTCTGTATCAGAATCAATCATTAAGGTTTTTTGTTGGTCTAATGTTCACATCGTGTGAATCAGAACTATACTCCGAAGAACTGCTATTTTCAGAGACATTATTTTTTTTTTTCATTTCATTTATTTTTATTAGTTGGAGGCTAATTACTTCACAACATTTCAGTGGGTTTTGTCATAAATTGATGTGAATCAGCCATGGAGTTACATGTATTCCCCATCGTGATCCCCCCTCCCACCTCCCTCTCCACCCGATTCCTCTGGGTCTTCCCAGTGCACCAGGCCTGAGCACTTGTCTCATGCATCTCACCTGGGCTGGTGATCTGTTTCACTATAGATAATATACATGCTGTTCTTTCAAAACATCCCACCCTCGCCTTCTCCCAGAGTCCAAAAGTCTGTTCTGTATATCTGTGTCTCTTTTTATGTTTTGCATATAGGGTTATCATTACCATCTTTCTAAATTCCATATATATGTGTTAGTATACTGTATTGGTCTTTANATAAAATTTGCAAAAAAAATTCTTCTTCACTCAAAATTTCACCATGCGCCATTTTTGAAAATTTCACATTTAGAATATATACAAGGTTGGAACAAAGAACTAATGGAGCAAAATGTGAATGATAACGACATTCATAAGTTGTATCATGAACCCTTAATCAATTTTAAGCTCTAACAAATTCACTCGGTGATGTTAATTGTATCACTCTCTAAAAACATACTGATAGGTTTTCGGTCAATAACGTTTGGGTAACAAAAGACATATTAATACGTCTCTAGTCATTAATGTGTTAAGCAAGTACAGCTGTAGATGAATGGGTTGGGAGCCAGAAAGGGGAGGCTGTTGGATGGTTTTCTGTAGAAGTGTGGGTCTGATCTCCCGTGGTCTCAGCCCGCAATGGCTTGGAGCGGGGCTTGCATTCCCAGCCAGAGACTGGGCTAGGTCGTGGCGGTGAAAGCCCCAGTGGTCAGTGACAAGGGCCCTGGCCCTCTGACTTTGCAGAAAAGAATTGCCACAAAGACCATAAGTAGTGAAGCAAGTAAAGTATTTACTAAGAGGAAAAGAGTACAGTACAAGTGGATAGACACACGGGTGGATTCAGGGAGAGAGAGAGTCGCTGAGTCACACCCTCGTGGCAGTTTGAATTAACTTTTATGGGGTATTTCTTCCAAGTTTTCCTTGGCCAGTCATTTTGATTTGCCTGGTTCACTGCCCATATTTGGTTTATCTCAGGATCCTCTCAAGTGTGTCCAAGCATCCCTTAGCCAAGATGGATTTTACTGAAAATGCATCCTGGTAGAACATCCCTTGGCATAACTCCCCTTTGGGCTCCAAGGAGCCTTTTCTGCGCATGTGAGGTCTGGGAAGTTGCCTGACTTCCAGAACAAGAAATGTGTGATCTGTGCAGGGTCCAGCCTCCTCCCTTAATTGTTTCAGTCCACAGGAAATGACTCTCCCATGGATTTACCCCCACTCTCCCAAGGCAGGGGGTGGGGGGCATCTGCCTTCTGTCTCAGGTCCTTTTCCCGAGACAGGAGCATGGATTAGGAATCTGGGGGACCCAGGTTCCAATCCTTGTCCTGTCAAGTTCTGCAGTGTGATGTGAGCTCCCCTCTGTCAGGATCAACACACCTTGCAGGCTTGTCGTGAAATTCAAAATAATTTATCAAGACACTTGGAACAGAAAGTGTGCTAGCATCCCCAAATCCAAGTTCACACTCCTTGCCACATGGCAAGCCGATAGATCAAGAGAGAAGACACTGGAGCAAGGAATAGTGACTCTATTTAGAAAGCTGGCAGTTTGAGACGATGGACTGGCAGAACCATCTTTTCTGAGGGAGAATTTAGACTTCTTTCTACTAAAAGGGGAGGGAGTGTGGCTGTTCATTGCAAACTTCTTTGTGCATGAATCCTTTATTCTTGCAGATGTCCAAGTGGGTCTGGTCACATTGTAAGCCTCCAACTGGACAATTATTATTCTCTGTTCTGCAATTTTTTTATTATACCTTGAAAGGTCAGGCTTGGGAGGCAGAGCCTTGTGAATGGACTGTCATGTGTATTTCTGGCTGTGGGCAACATCCTTTTATTAATACAAAGAGGCAGAGCCAACATGACTAATACAGGCAACAAAGTACAAAGATAGAGTAAGAGGAACTGGTCCCACATAGAGTCAGGTTTCTTCTCTGTTACACTGGGCTTCCCAGGTGGTGCTCGTGGTAAAGAATCTGCCTGCCAGTGGAAGAGAGGCAAGAGATGTACATTCAATCCTTGGGTCAGGAAGATTCCCTGGAGAAGGAAATGGCAACCCACTCCAGGATTCTTGCCTGGGAAATCCTCTGTCCAAGGGATTTTCCTCTGTGGGAAAGACTGGTGTCTCAAAGAGTTCAGTTCGGTTCAGTTGCTCTTTGTGACCCCATAAACTGCAGCATGCCAGGCNCAGAAATAGATGTTTTTCTGGAACTCTCTTGCTTTTTCGATGACCCAGCAGATGTTGGTAACAAAGAGTTAGATGTGACTGAAAACAAGCTGTTACATTAGTTATAGTTACAAATGACAAGAATTATTGTCACTCTACATCCCACTTAAAAGCGTCCTCACTTCTCTGACCTCTCCTTGTCACCTGTTCTAACCCAAATCATCTCTTCCTAAGGACTCATCCCTTCTACCTCTGAGGCTGGAGGTGGGACACGTAACCTTGCTCCTACTTGCTGCTTCTAGATTCAAGTCAAAAAGTATCCAGCTTGAAGCTGATGCCATTAGACAAAGCTACCCTCTCCCCTCATTGCTGTGTCATAAACTAATGGCATGGCCTTCATTTCCCTGTGATTGGGCTCCCACACACTGTGACTTTCTGCAGCTTTGCTCCTGTATTAACACGTGGCTATATCAATTGATATTGGGCTTCCCTGGTGGCTCAGTGGTAAGGAATCTGCCTTCCAATGCAGGTGACAAGGGTTTGATCCCTGGTCCAGGAAGAACCCCTGGAGAAGGGAATGGCAACCCACTCCAGTATTCTTGCCTGGAAAATCCCATGGACAGAGGAGCCTGGTGGGCTACAGTCCATGGGTCAAAAGAAGAGTTGGACATGACTTAGCAACTGAGCTCACATGCGTGCACACACACACACACGTACACACACACTCATATTACCCAAATACTGATATAATAAAATATAGTAGTAAGGTCTAAATTGGCAATAAAATAAGTAGATAAATAAATAAATAAAATGGCCTCTGAGACCACCTGTAGACAGAAGGTCATGCTTACCTGCATTTGTCCTGCTTTTTTTTTTTGCCCCTTGGCCTTTGTGACAATTTCAGTCACTCCTATTCACCTTGTGATGAGGAAGGGATTCCTGCCCTAGGGTTCTGGACACAGCTGAACACACAACACTGGACAGATGAGACTGCTCATAGGTTATTAACACAGATACAGTCCAGGGGAAGAGGACTCTGTGCCAGGCAGGGCCACATAGGGGTCGCACGTGGGGACAGAGTGAACGACCAGGAAGTGTGCCGGGCAAGCTTTGTACTCTCCAGAGGGTGTGGGGCCCACTGGTTCCTAAGGGATTGGCTTAGGGGGATATTCTATTGGCTGGCAAGGAACCGAAGCCCACTCCCCAGGAAGAGGAACGGACATGCCTGGTGCCCTTGATAAACAGGGATGTTGGATGAAGGGCCTTCTCTGCAGGAGCAGAGTGGGTCGGGAAACTGGTTATTGCAGCTGCCCCCCACCCCCACCCCCAATTTTACCAGATGTCAAGGCAGTACATAATGTTTATTTCATAATGTTAGGCATTACCTATTAGGTCTTACCAGATAGAGACCTGCAAAAGGTTGTACATAGCTCTCTCGACATTTCTCAGAATAGTCTTCCTTTTTTTAGAAAAAATTTATTTTGTATTGGGGTATAGTTGATTAGGGCTTCCCTGATAGCTCAGTTGGTAAAGAAACCGCATGCAATGCAGGAGACCCTGGTTCCATTCCTGGGTCAGGAAGATCCGCTGGAGAAGGGAAAGGCTACCCACTCCAGTATTCTTGGGTTTCCCTTGTGGCTCAGCTGGTAAAGAAACCGCCTGCAGTGCAAGAGACCTGGGCTGGGAAGGTCCCCTAGAGAAGGGAAAGGCTACCCACTCCAGTATTCTGGCCTAAAGAGTTCCATGGACTGTATAGTCCATGGGGTCGAAAAAAGTCAGGCACATCTGAGCAACTTTCACTTCATAACTGATTAACGGCTGAAGCTGAAGCTCCAATACTTTGACCACCTGATGTGAAGGGCCAACTCATTGAAAAAGACCCTGATGCTTGGAAAGATTGAAGGAAAAAGGAGACGGGGGCGGCAGAGGATGAAATGGTTGGATGGCATCACTGACTCAATGGATGTGAATCTGACCAAACTCTGAGAGCTAGTGAAGGACTGATTTAACAATATTGTGATAGTTTCAGGTGGACGGCGAAGGGACTCAGCCATCCATAAACATGTATCCACTCTCCCTCAAGCTCCCCTCCCATCCAGGCTGCCACGTAACATTGAGCAGAGTTCCCTGTGCTACACAGCAGGTGTTTGTCGGTGGTTATTGTTTAGCAGCTAAGTTGCGTCCAGCTCTTTTGACTCCATGGACTGTAGCCTGCCAGTCTCCTCCATGCATAGGATTTCCCAGGCAAGAATACTGTAGTGAGTTGCTATTTCCTTCTCCAGGGGATCTTCCTGATGCAGGGATCAAACCTGTGTCTCCTACTTGGCAGGCAGATTCTTTACCACTGAGCCACCTGGGAAGCCCCCTTGTTGGTTATCCCTTCTTTTTTTTTTTGGTTATCCCTTCTAAATATAGGAATGTGTACACATTGATCCCAAACTGCCTAACTTCCCCCCTACCCCAGAATAGTCTTTATTTAGGGTTTCAGAAATTGTTTTCTGTGCACATCTGTTCCAGGTTGTCATCCCTGTCCTGGCCAATAAGAAGAACCACCTAGACTGGCCCCACGTGGTTTGTCAAGATGTCCAGCGGCATGCCTACAGCCTCCAGGGTGACCTTCTGGTTCTCCTTGAGCAAGCGAAGGGAAAAACGCTGCTGCCCCTTCCAGTCGGCTCAGAAAACACGGGCTCTGACGGTTCTGAAATCGAGGCCACGTAAGTACCGCCAGGCTGGCCACATGGGCCTCAGAGATAGGGGAGATGCCGGTTTATCGGAATGTTTTCTGTACGACTTTTCTGTCCCTGACTCTGCACGTCTCCTTCTTCTGCACATGAGCCCACTGTTGGCCAGCATCCTCGGACTGTGTGTTCCGTGCTGATTACCACCCTCGCCCCAGTACCCCCACCCAAGTCTCTCAGGGCTATCACAGCAACACGGCCTTCTTTCCGCTCAGAACTATCTGAGGCGTGAGAGCAGCCACACTGATTCCAGCGCTTCCCTTATCAGGACAGTGTCTCATCGTTGGCAGAGACCCAGGTCCCGTCTGGGAGACAGCGCGCCTCTTCCCAGCATTTACTCAGCACATCATGTCACCGTCCAGACCCTCTACCAGCAGCAGCTGGAGAGTGTTTTCAGGTCCTGGGGACTTTTTTTTCCCCCAAGTAGAAACAAATCGGCTTTGTCGAGGCTTGAGATCCTTGCCTTCTGTGACTGGAGAGGCATTAATCCCCATGGCTCTTCTTATAGGAGCGATACCCACTGTCAGCTTCCACTTACCATTCCAGCCCTGAGCTATCTTTGCTTCTGTCCTGTGGAGATTTTCTGCTTTTTCTTTCGAGTCAGGCTATGTACCTAAAATAATATATATATTTTTAATTGTCTTCTAGTAAGCATTCTATATGTTTGTGGCAACAGTCCACCTTCCTTCACGAGTTCAGTCTGCCACATTGCTGGGACTTTCCAAACGTATTGTCTATTCAGGGCCCATGATTTGATCTGCAGAATGAGTAATGCATGGGATCGAAATATACTTTACAGTGAGTTTTTTCATATTGGAAGTAATTTGCTATGTGTATAATTTGAAGCAGTCCCAGTTAACTGGAAAACTTATCGTGGCTTCATAAAAATATATACTTTTCAAAATAAATACCTTCAAACGACCCTTCTTCTGTTCCTTTTCTCTTTGACTATAATAACATTCAGTGTGAATGTATAATTGTTGTGGTGTTTGTCTCCTTTTGTTCAAATCTGATAATTTCCCAAGAGGCTGGATCGTGTTACTGGGAGGTGAGTATCTTCTGCCTTTAATTCCGTCCATAATCACTTGTGCCATATCATTGCTCAGCAAATATGAACTTAATTAAATGAAGCAAAGGTGGGTTTCCGGCATGAAAAATGCAAATGACAGATTCTCTCTCACCTGTGTCCTGTTTTCTCAGCATGCCTGTTTGTGTGCTAAGTCACTTCAGTCGTGTCCAACTCTTTGTGACACCATGAACTGCAGCCCTCCAGGCCCGTCTGTCGATGGGATTCTCCAGGCAAGAATACTGGAATGGGGTTGCCGTGCCCTCCTCCAGGGGATCTTCCCCACCCAGGGATTGAACCCCTGTCTTTTACATCTCCTGCATTGGCAGTGGGTTCTTTACCACTAGTGCCATGAACAACTGTCAGTTCAGACTGTATGAAAAGGCAACCAGAATGTATTTTTGACTTTTAATCCTTTCCAAATATCCCTAGTTAGTTTATTTAAAAGGTGCACGAGGGAGAACATATGGGAATTCCATTCTTCACTGGAAAAGTGAGGACAAAGGATAGTAATGTTCTTACATCTGACAACTTGCCTGATGGGGGAGGAAGTAACCTGTTTCTCCTCGCTGAGGAGGTCAGAAATGAGACCAGATGAGGGACTGGCAATGAGATGAACCTGGTCCCGGGTAGAGAGAAACTCTTTGCCAAGGAGAGCTGATCTTCCCCAAGAATGCATTGCCTTGTCAAGCAGGGAGCTGGCTGGCATTGGTGTGACTCAAGCAAGGGTTGGGGCTTCCCTGGTGGCTCAGATGGTAAAGAATCCACCTGCAGTATGAGAGACCCGCATTAGTCCCTGGGTCCTGAAGATCCCCTGGAGAAGACCATGGCCACCCAATCCAGTATTCTTGCCTGGAGAATTCCACGGACAGAGGAGCCTGGCGAGCTACAGTCCATGGGGACACAAAGTGTCGGACACGACTGAAACAACATAGCACATAGAGTTAAGCTCTTCCCTGCATCCCAGGAGACCTGTTGTCTCTCTCGCAGCTTGGATTCTACGGACAAGTCCGTCATCTATGCCATTGAGTCTGCAGTGATCCAGTGGAGCCACCAAATCCAGCTGGTGCTCAAGAGAGAGTCTTCCCAGCCGCTCCTCCAGGGGGAGAACCCTACCCCGAAGGTGGAGCTGGAGTTCTGGAGGAGCAGGTGGGCATAGACTGGGACCCTGGGAGCAGATGGCTCACAGTGGAAATGGGCTGGGGGAGGTGACTACTGAGTCCGGTCCCACCCCCCAGGCGTCTCTCATCAGCTCTAGAGCCAAAAGCTTAGTGTCATTTGGGTCAAGGCAGCTCTTCTGTGTACTGGGAGGTGACACTTTGGCCAAGGTTCAATAGTCATGCCTCATTTCTTGAGCTGCAGTCAGTGTATCTTCCAATGTTTCTTCAAATGCTCTTTCAGCCACATGTAAAGTTAATGAACTCGCTTATGTATTTTCTTCTACTTGTCTGCTCCCTCTCCTTGGATAGTCAATATGCACACTTTTTTTTTTCTTTTTGTAGGATTTAGAGAGAGAGGGTTTTGGCAGTACACTGCTGAACACTGTCTCTTAGGTTCTAGGTGGTCATTAGGAGGGCTGAAAGTCCATCACCCATGGTGTCCCAGCCCCAGAGGTTCCAGAAAGACCTAATTATCCCCCTTCTTCTTCCACATTTCCCTGCTCCTATTTATCACTGTGCTGATTAATCTTCTACTCTAAAGGAGACAGACAGACTGATGTGTGAGGGGGGACTTCCCTGTCCTTGCTTGTCTTGTGACCAGGGATACCAGTAGGGCTCCAGCCCTATTTGCGTCCCATACCGAGATGCCCCATCCTCTTGCCTAGTTTCCTGAACACTCTGCTGACCTACTGTGGGGCCCTGCTCCAGCAGCCTTGCTCTGACACCACCTCTCTCACCCCACCCAAAACCTCACTGTGAGAGCTAATGACCTCCAGCTGCTGAGCTTCTGAGCTACCAGATGGTCAGCAGTGTTCCCTGCTGTTACCTCCTGCAGCTGCTCCTTTGAACCTGTGTCCAGACTGAGGCTCTTGCTTTCACTGTTCTGGGAACAGAGGCCCCAGCTCTTTGGACCAGAGCATGGCCTCTGCGGAAGCATCCCGAGGCAGACCCCCTCTCTCGGTCTATCTGAAGTCTGGTCATGGCAGCATGACTGTGTCCCCTGATGTTCTTGTGGACTGACGTGTCTCCTGGTATTGCAGGTATGAAGACCTGGAATCCATTTATAATCAGCTGAGAACAATAAAGAGGAGGGGCATGGCGGGACTTCTGGACAAGTTTCAGAGCAGTTACTTTCCAGCTTTCCAAGCCATGTTCCGAGACATTGGAACAGGTGAGGATCCCCAAGTATTTTCATACACTGACTCAACTTTGTTATTTAGTGCCAGATTATCTTCCTGTCTGATTTCAGCAGCTTCCAGTCCTCCCACCCCTCCAACCTGAGGTGGTCTAGCACATCGGCAAGAATGCCAAACCTAGAAGCAGGAAAGTAGCCACCCTGTGCTCTATTTGCATTTCCAGAGCTTTGTGACCCTGGCAGAGTCACCTAACCTCTCTGAGCTTTTGCGTGTACTCTGGTTATTGTGCATACGCTTGCCACCTGCTTCCCTGGGCTGCTGGGAGAGGATGTAAGTGTGAGTTCCTTACTGACTGTAAATCATAATCCCTCATCTTTGGAATTCATGTCCTTCCACCCCCAGCTCCTTGGAAAGTCTCTGTTCCATTTCTAGCTCCATTCTGCTTTTTCTGTTCCACTTGTGTCAGATGGGATTGCAGTTTCCTGGTGTTCTGAGCACCAGACAAGATCAGCCCTTGTCAAAACTGTGAATCCAGCAGAGTCTTGTACTTAGAAGTAGGTAAATCCTTTCAGGGCTCCTCTCCCCTCATCAGTGCACGTCTCTTCTTTCTCCTCTCAAACCTCCTCCCGGCTCTCGGGGATTGTAGGTTGAAATATGCATCTAAAGGTGCTTGCAATTTCGTGTTATTTAAGGTTAACCTCAGCAGTGACTTTCAAATGCTTTCTCTCGATCAGAACTCTTTTCTTTGAATGCAGTCTCCTGTGTCCGTCCAGATGTAAAACTTGTTTGCTGTGCTAAAGAGGGAGCGTCCTGTGTCCAGAGCCCATTGGTGGATCCCTGCCCCACCTTCTCCTCCTTATGGTGTGGGGTTTGGAAACCATGCAGATGAAGGAATAAAAGTACCAGTGGTACTTTTGCTTGTAAAGTACTTGTACTTTGCAACAGCGAATAGCTGGCTTAAGGAGCTGGTCTCTGAGGTCCTTCCAGACCCTAATTTCTCATCCCAGCGGCCTTCTGTCAGCACCTAGAGCTAGCTTGGAATGGGGTTCCTATTGGGGCCCCAGTTTATTGCTTCTCTGGGAGGTTTTGTGTCTTGGAGCAATCAAATGTTGTTCCCAATTTATACTCCAATTCAAATGAGGTAGCGTCCCCAGAAATGATCTGTGTACCACTGTTAGTAAGAGAGATGGTTGGGGTAGATGTCTGAGCAGATGTATTTTATTTTTTATGTTTTAAGTTTAATTTAATTAATGTATTTTTAAAATTGGAAGATAATTGTTTTACAATATTGTGTTAGTTTCTGCTGCACAACAACATGAATCAGCTGTATGTACACATACACCTCCTCCCTCTTGAGCCTCCCTCCTATCCTCCTCCCCATCCCACCCGTCTAGGTCTGTGATGAGCACCCAGCTGAGTTCCCTGTGCTAGACAGCAGATTCCCACTAGGCAGCAGATTCCCACTATTTGTTTTTCACATGGCAGTGTATATATGTCAATGCTACTCTCGATTCATCCCACCTTCTTCCTCCCCCACTGTGTCCACAAATCCGTTTTCTATATCTGTATCTGTATTTCCTGCCCTGCAAATAGGTTCATCAATGCCATTTTTCTAGATTCCATATATATATATATGTTAATATACAATATTTGTTTTTCTTTTTTGACTTACTTCATTCTGTATGACAAACTCTGGGTTCATCCATATTTTAAAATATGCAAAACAGTAACTCCTTTTTTGGGCATGTGATGTGAGTTTTCCATTTATGGTTTTATAGAGATTTAATGGTTTCATTTTATATGGTTTTATTTAGGTTAAAATTAGAGTCAAATTAGGGAAAGGTATGAAGTAATACTACAGGTTGTAGGCAATCATGACAGATATCATAAAGGGGATATGCTAAGGATGGAAATTTGAGGCTCTGAAATGAAACATAATAAAACCATATTTATGAGTTTATTATTTAGATCCACAAGTATATTTTTCACTTTAAAAGATTAATAGAGTATAATCATTCACATTGATTAATAGTATTAAAAGATTTGGTTCCCCAGACCTCTTTCTAAAAGTTTTTTTGCAAAAGAATATATTATGGCAATGAAAAGAAATTAGAAAAAAAAAACAATATCATCATAATTGTCTCAGAGAAATACCACTGTAGAAATAGAAATCCTTGGAATATATAACTCAGTCCAAATAATGGAAGAAGAGAAATTTTGATCACAGTTGCCAGGTAGAGACTTGGTCAGAAATTTTAGCATGGCAACCTACTGCAGTATTCTTGCTGGAGAATCCCATGGGCAGAGAAGCCTGGCAGGCTATGGTCCTTGGGCTTGCAAAGAGTTGGACACGACTGAAGCTACTTAGCACGCGTATGTGGGGAGAGATGTAAAGTCCAGAAGTTTCCTGGAGCTGCCATGGAACTGGCTCTCGGGTTCCCACGAGAGCCCATTGCACACAACCCTTGTCAACACCCGTTCCCCAACACTCAGTGACATCAAGTTAGTAGCTTGAGATCAGACACGGTGGGAAGATTAGGAGTATTTACATCCCAGAAATTGGCAAATGCTAAAGGCTTTTGGGATCAAGGCTTTTGTCCCAGAAGAGCTTGTGGTTAAAGATTTACCAGCAAACCACACATATTTCTGTGCAACTGGAGTTTATATTTGAATCTGTTTTGTTTGGGGTTTTTTGGCCACGTTGCCTGGCCTGTGGGATTTTAATTCCCCAACCAGGGATCAAACCCAGGCACTGTGCAGTGGAAACACGGAGTCCTAACCACTAGGCAACCAGGATATTCCCGATATTTGCAGTTTTTAAACGCTTTTAGCCTAACTCTGTTTGTATCTTTCTTCATCTGCCTTGTGAGCCAAGGTGACTGCACTCTAGAGTAGATGAGCCAGCCCTCAAGTGTTGAGCTCTTGAAAATCAGGGGAGTGTGTATATGTATGATTAAAGGAGATTTTTCTTATTAAAAAGTACAACATGAAAAGGAAGCTCCCATGGTGTGATGCTCTCAGTTTCTTTTCCCTCAAGGCACAGATGAAAGCCTGAGCATGTGCTCATTGGAATGACTGTTGGATTCTGACAACAACCCCCCACCCTACAGTGGTTCTGATACTTCCATCAAACCCTCCCATTTAAGAATTGCTGCTCTAATTGATTTAACATGACATCTGTCTTTAAAAAATTGGTTTACATAGTCCTTCCCACAACTCCATTTGGGGTATAAAGCACTGATGTACACATCCCAAGCTCCCATGTGTAGTGAGCCCCACAACCATCAATGTAATAAACTCGGGTATAATCCTGCTTTTGCTCAGCTGGGCAGGGCTGACCAATTAACTGGTAGACTCAAGGCAGGTTATTTAGGTCTTAATTTTTTTTTTAATTTTCAACAATTTTTATCAGATGGTACAGTGGTTTTATTTATTTATCTATTTATTGGGCTTCTCTGCTAGCTCAAGTGGTAAGGAATCCACCTGCCAATGCAGGAGATGCAGGTTCTATCCCTGGGTCAGGAAGATAGGTCTCCCAGAGGAGGAAATGGTAACCCACTCCAGTATTCTTGCCTGGAGAATCTCGTGGACAGAGGAGCCTGGAGGGCTACAGTTCTTGTGGAGTCTGCAGAGTCAGACACAGCCAAGCATGCAACAAATTACAAAAAATTAGAAAAAGAAATTTATTTCTTATTTTTTGGCTGCACCATGCAGCCTGCAGGATCATAGTTCCCTGACCAGGGATTGAACCCGTGCCCCCTTCATCAAAAGTGTGGAGTCTTAATCACTGGACAACCAGAGAAGTTCCTAGGTCCTAATTCCTTTGCTTACAAAACGGAAATAATGAAGCTACCTCACACGATTTTCTATGAGTTTTTCTATGAGTTGGATGGTGTTTGGTATATTGCAACTGTTTACTAAACAGTATATATATTTTGAGTTTCTTTTAGGATGAATGCTGAGCTTCATCCACATAAAAGAACCCAAGACCATCTGCTATGACAGCACCAGGTTACCTGCCCTGGAAAGAAGCAGCCTTCCTAAAACACCCATTTCCGGGCCTTTGCATCCCCTCTCAGTAGCTCTGCAGAATTGGCACCCAGAGCTACAGTTTTCCTCCCTTCCCCTCTCAGCCACCACAGGACGGCAGATGGAAAGTGCTCTCTTTCCTCAGCTTCATTCAGTGGAAATGGCAGGAGGTTTTCCTGGCTTTGAAGACCAGCAGAACCTTGCCATAATCAGCCTGAGCTATTTGTCTATTCCCTGTGACTTGTCCTCCGTAAGAGCTCAGTGAGATTCTTTACTGGCAAATATTTGTTAGAGATGTGACCATGCACGCAACACCTCCTTTGGTCCAAGCACTGAGCTAGCCATGTATGAAAATTCAGTCTTGCTGCCTTCACAAGAACTCTTTAAATGAGTTACTCTTCAGCCTGTTGTTGAGATTCAGACAGGATAGTCATGCCTGAGGTCACGCATTTGATGTATCGGCATTTGAAGGCAGATCTTTCTGACTCTTAAAACCTGTCCTCTGTCATCCATCCCATATTACCTCAGAGGTAATACCAGCAAGCAGTCACCGAGCATTTTCTACACACACAGCACCTGAGGGCCTGGGGCTGGCAGGGCCAGGTGGCCGTTCAGATACAAGAATTCTGTAAGAGGGGCTCCTCAGACCCCTCTCCCAGCTGCCCAGGGCTCGTCTGATTTCAGTGTTTCCTCGCAAGAGCTGGCCAGCCGTCTCTGCTCCCTCAGCCCAGCAAGAGATCACAACCCTTGCTTTCTGATCCTTCACGCCTAGGCCTCAGGGCTCCTCTTGGCGGGTGTGAGCCTCAGGCTGGTACTGTGATGGGTTGTCTCCTGTTCCTTCCAGCTCTGACGGAGGCACGGGACATCTACACCCACCTGGCGCCACTGAGCCGTCACCTGGAGAGCCTCGAGAGCCTGGAGTTTCCCGACGTGAAGCCCCGGCTGCGGCCCCTGCTGCACGTGGTCTGCCTGATCTGGGCCACGTGTGAGTCTTACCGCTGCCCAGGGCGGCTCACGGTGCTGCTGCAGGAGATCTGCAACCTTCTGGTCCAGCAGGTGGGCACCCAGCAGTCCCCAACCTCACCCCAGGGGCTGGATGGTCCAAGTCACAAGAAGTGTAGAGTGTGCGTCTGTTTTTTCAGAGCAATAATGAGGGCCCAAAGGGTTCTCCTCTGGAGGCTCAAATGGTAAAGAATCTGCCTGCAATGCAGGAGACCCAGGTTCAATCCCTGGATCTGGAAGATCCCCTGGAGAAGGGCATAGCTACCCATTCCAGTATTCTTGCCTGGAGAATTCCATGGACAGAGGAGCCTGGCAGGCTACAGTCCATGGGGTTGCAAAGAGTCGGACACGACTGAAGAGACTTAGCAGAGGATTCTCAGACTTGAATTGCTTTATCATCATAGACTGTAATTCCCAACGCTATTCTCAGTCCTGCTGGGGTACTTTGGAGGACCTGGGTTTGGGTGCAGGGTAGAGATGGTGAATTTCAATCTCCTTAAGGATCTTTATATATGTATGTATATAACTTTATTTATATATTTATCTGGCAGCACTGGGTCTTGGCTGCTGCATTCAGGCTGTTTTCTCTACTTGCAGCGAGGAGGGGCTACTCTCTAGTTGCAGTGCATGGGCTTCTCTCTTGCCGTGGAGCACAGGCTCTAGGGCACGTGGCTTCAATAGTTGCAGCTCCTGGGCTCTAGAACACAGGCTCAGTAGCTGTGATGCACTGGCTTAGTTGCTTCTCAGCATGTGGTATCTTCCTGGATCAGGAATGGGACCCATGTTTCCTGTATTGGCAGGTGGATTCTTACCATCTGAGCCACTAGGGGAGCCCAGAAAGCCAGTGAGTCACAACAGAAACCTGGAAAGGCTGCCTGTCCAGCCCCAGCTGTCCCAAGAGCAGTCTCACTGTGTTTCCTTGTCTCTGACTGGTCACTTGCCACCCCTGAGCCCGTCACTGACCATAGCTTGACCCCTGGTCCCAATCCTGCTGTGGGACTGAAGGATGGGTCTGATGTTTCCTCTGTTAGGCTTCTGGAAAATGTTGCATGGGTAGTCGCTCAGTGAAGAGCTATAGGCTGGGCAGAGTTGTGGACCATCCTTGCATCTGCAGCCAGGCTTAGTGCCACTCACTTGTCTGCCCTCCAGGCCTCTATTTATCTCTGCCCAGAAGACCTCCTGAGAGGTGAGGTCGAAGACGGTGAGAGGAAACTGAATGTGGTCATGGACACCCTGAGCTTCTTCAAGCAGCTGTTTCAGGACAGAAGGGAGAATCTCCATTCTTACTTCAAAGAGAACCAGGAAGTCCGCGAGTGGGATTTCCAGTCCTCTTTGGTCTTTGTGAGATTGGATGGCTTCCTGGGGCGACTGGGCATGGTGCAGGTGAGTGTTCTCCTCCCGTCAGGCCCCGGTTCCTTGCAGAAGGGAGCAACCCAGGCATGCAAAAAGTAGCAGCAGCAACAAAGAATGGAATATCGTCATGTGCAGCATCATGAAGGGATCTAGAGACTGTCATACTGAGTGACGTAAGTCAGGCAGAGAAGGAGAAGTACCATGCGATATCACTTATATATGAAATCTAAATAAATAATACAAATGAACTTATTTACTACACAAAAACAGACTCACAGACATAGAAAACAAACGTGATTGCCAAAGGGGAAAGAGAGGTAGGGGAGGGATAAATTAGGAGTTTGGGGAGTAACAGATACACACCATTATTCGTAAAATAGATAATCAGCAAGGACCTACTGTGTAGCACAGGGAACTATACTCAATATTCTGTAATAACCTACATGGGACAAGAATCTGAAAAGTATATGTGTGTGTATACACACACACACACACACACACACACACACACACACACACACGGGCTTACCTGGTGGCTCAGTTGGTAAAGAATCTGCCTGCAAGGCAGGAGACCTAGGTTTGATCCCTGGGTCAGAAAAATCCCCTGGAGAAGGGAATGGCTACCCACTCCAGTATTCTTGCCTGGAGAATCCCATGGACAGAGGAAGCTGGCAGGCTACAATCCATGGGTTGCAAAGAATCAGATATGACTGAGCAACTAAACCACCACTACCATATATGTGTGTGTATGTATATATATGTGTATGTATATATGTGTGTATGCAAATATGTGTGTATGTATATATGTATATATATGCATATATATCTGAATCACTTAGCTATACACCTGAAACTAACACAACACTGTAAATCAGCTATACTTCAATTTTTAAAATAAAGTGTAATGTATGACAAAGACCATTGCAATGTTGTGAAGTGGTTGGCCTCCAACTAATAGAAATAAATGGAAAAAAAAAAATAAAGTGTAGTATTTAAGATTTCAAAAAAAGAAAAAAATGAGGAAGAAACAAATATTTATCAAATTAATTAATTTTTAAGAATAGTTGCCTTTCAAGGTATGTGGCAATCCTATTTTATTCTCTAATGGCAATTAAGTTTTCTTTTATATCTACTTTTCATTACATTTTATGTATGGAGAATGCAGTAAGAGAATTATAGTGTATCTGCAATTCCCAGGCTATGTCATTAGGTCAGCATTTGGCCTTTCTCTTCTTTATTTCACATCTGTGTCTGCCTAAAGGTAGGATGACCAAATAAAAAGTGAACAAGTGAAACACAGCAAAGCGCAGAGTGAGAAGAGGTCCAAGACAGCAGGGTGATCAGCCTTGCATTGCCTGGAAGAAACCATGATTCAGTAACTTATTTAGAATAGTCATCATGTGATGGTAGTTCTACTAGAAGTTCAGGAAATTCTGATCATAGTCTCAGGTAGAAGTCTCAAGGAATCAGTCAACAAATTCAGTTGGTTTTCAAATTACCCATAATCTTCTTGCTAGCGGTCTCATGGGAAATGGCCAGTGAGTTGACCTGGATGCAGCTGGCCATGCCCACAAAGCCACTGCCTTGAACTTCTCCACTTTCCCACCATCAAGATGGCTCCAAAAACTACAAGACTAGCATGAGTGCTAAGTTGCTTTAGTTGTGTCTGACTCTGTAACCCTATGGATGGTAGCCTGCCAGGCTCCTCTATCCATGGAATTCTCCAGACAAGAATACTGGAGTGGGTTGCCATTTCCTCTTCCAGGGGATCTTCCTGACCCTGAGATCAAACCTGAGTCTCCTGTGTCTCCTGCATTGGTATGTGGGTTGTTTACCACTTGCACCACCGGGGAGCCCAAGACTAGCATGAATCCCTGTACAAATGAAATACGACTTTTGCTCAAAGTCATGACTGTCCTCCCCCAGTTGTTTAAAAGTCAATGCGAACGTTAGTTTAAGGGCCAAGGTAAGAAAACACGAGCCTTTCTCTTTGGACTGTTTTCCTCTTCAGGATTTAGTGTGATTACCATGTGTTCCCATGCTCTGCAGCTCTGTGTTCGCTGATGAAACTTTGCAGGGAGAGTAGTGGGTATGACAAAGCAAAATACATACTTATCCTAAAATTAATTTGGGAGATGCAGGGTCAAGTTCAAGATTAGGACAATAGCCAAGGAGACTGAGAAGGAATCAGAAGCATGTTTCTCTCCATGATCAGCAGAGATTTGGGGTGGAGAGAAGGGCTGTGTTGGGAGGAGGTGGTGATAAGTGGCACAGACCATGTGATTATGAGGATTAGAGAAGATGAGATGGAATCTCTTCACTTCAGCCCCCAAAGCATAGTTCCACGACTGCCATGCTCTAGGCACCACCTACCAGGCTCTGAGCTGGGGCCCCGGGGGTAGGACGGTGGCTAGGGTACAGTTTTGCCTGTAAGAAGCCCACGGACCAGAAGACATGAAAAAGGCAGAGACTGATGGAGGAGATCCAGGGATGGGACGACAACAAAATCTTGAAGCTTCCCTGATGTGTATTATGTGCCATGATAAAAGCAAAGTGTGTGTGTTAGTCACTCTGTCGTGTCCAACTCTTTTCGACCCCATGGACTGTAGCCCACCAGGTTCCTCTGTCCGTGGGATTCTCTAGGCAAGAATACTTGAGTGGGTTGCCATTTCCTCCTCCAGGGGATCTTCCTGACCCAGGAATCGAACCCAGATCTTCTACATTGCAAGCAGATTCTTTACTGTCTGAGCCACAGGGAAGCCCGATAAAAGCAAAATTGGTGTGATATTGGGAGCAAGAAGGATGGGTTCCTAACCCAGAGGGCCTCTGAGAAAGTGGGGAGCACAAGAGGAAATAAATTTAGAAACTGGAGTAGGAATTCTCTGGGGAAACGAAGACTGGTGAAGGTGGGAACAGAGACAGAGAAAATGTATGAGCCAGAAGGCCAGACCCTAGATCATATGAAAGGTGGACCTTAAATCCTTCTCTGGGATCACGGACAGTATAAATAATTGATGCCTCGCTTTTTCCTAAATGCTTTGTTTTTGGCACCATTTCCACCACAGCCCTTGAGGAGCAGCCTCTCTTCTCCTTCTCCATTCCATCCCTCTCCTCTCCGACACCAACCCATTCACTGTCTTTTAACTGGAGGTGACAGAGACTCTCTCACTCCTGCCTGCCCCTGGCCACCGTGGGGACCAGGGCAAACAGCTGCCTTCACAGTCTCCCTAGCCCTGAGGACAGTCCTTGCAGTGGAAGCCAGGGAGCAGGGCTCAGCCCTGCAAGGCTGTTGGGCTGCGGCCTGGGGACCTGCACACATGCTAATGATGTGACTTTGCATATAGACAGCTATCCTGACGTTGAGCGCCTAATCTGCTGGGTTTATTCAGTAACCACAAGCAGCCCTAGCCACTAGCCTCCCCGGAGTCATTACCCTTGCAAGTGTCCCCTCTCTGGCTGCTTTTTCTTTCTGAATCAGTGCACAGATGCATAAAGAGCAAAAAGCAGTTGTCCCAGTTTAATTAGAAGATGAGATGAATATCACCCGGTCCTGCTCCTGTTCCCCTCGTAAGTTCTCTGTCCCTGGCTCTGGTTCACTTCTCTGCTCTTAGGCCAAATGCCTCCACTTCTTTTGTCCACTCATTTCTCGTCTGCCTCCCTCTTCCCTCTTCCTTTTCTGCTGGTCTCCCTCCCCTTCTCTATTTTCCTTCCTCTTGTTTAGTTTCTCTTAACTCTCTGTTCACCCTGCATTTCCCTGAGTCTGCCTTTTCCGGTGGCTGTTTCTTTCCCTCGTCCGGGTATCTCTCCCTCGTTCATCTCCTAAACATTTGCTCAGATTTGCCCCCTGCCCCATGTCTTCCCAGTCTCTTCCCCACTCAACTCAGTGCAGCAAGACACAGGCTATCGATCAGCTCTGGGCATATTTCACATCGCCCTTTAGTTAACATTCTGTGTATCTCTGTGATCGATGCCTGCTTGAGATGGGGTTAATCTGCTTCTCTCCAGCAAGAATTAGCATGAACCCAGCCCTATTCATCTTGCCGTTCTGTATACTTTGTGGCCCCTAAACCATGGGCAGCTGCAATTAATAAATACATGAAGCCAAGGTAATAAAATGATTTCAGTGTGTTTTCCTCTCTGCCTGCTCACAAGGGTGAGGTTGTTTAAGGCTGGTTTTTAATCTCCATTGTTCTATTTCCCCTCTGATTTGCCTGGCCTTTTTTTTTTCTCTTTGAAACAAGAAAGTTTTATTGTGCATATGGATGTTTCCCCTCTTTTGCTGTTCAGTCGCTGAGTCATGTCTGACTCTGTGCCCCCATGGACTGCGTGCAGCATGCCAGGCTTCCCTGTCCTTCACCATCTCCTGGAGCTTGCTCAGACTCATGTCCATTGAGTTGGTGATGCCCTCCAACCATCTCATCCTCTGTTGTCCCCTTCTCCTCCTGCCTTCAATCTCTCCCAGCATCAGGATCTTTTCCAATGAGACAGCGCTTCGTATCAGGTGGCCAAGGTATTGGAGCTTCAGCTTCAGCATCAGTCCTCTGGGCACCTGCTAAATGAAGGTGAGGGCAGGACTGCTTGGCCAGAGGTGCTAACATGTTGAGCTGTCCTGCAGGTCTGTCTGCAGAGGCATGTGGAGTAATTGCATTCTCTGCAAACCTTGTCCTCCTTCTCCCCTTCCTCCTCCTCACCATCCCCATGATGCAGCTAGTCTCTTAGAGAGCTAACCCCTGGGAGGGAAAGGAAGAACAGACCAAGAAAGAATTAACATCTCTCAAGAGCCAATCTCATGTCAGAGCTGCAGCCTTAAAACCTAGGAAAGAACTGGGTATCAGTACCTCTGGCAAATGAGCACCATTATATGTGACACAAAAATGAACTTGCCCAGAGTCACAGGCTCAGCAAGGCTTAGCTGGGGTTCATACCCCAGGGTACAGGGTTCCAAGCACTGTCTTTCCACCAAACACAGATGTCTCCCAGCAGTTACAAAGATCTGTTCCGCTGCCTCCCTCCCTCCTTCCCTCCCTTTT